GAAGTTAACGAGCGAGAAGTTAACGAGCGAGAAGTTAACGAGCGAAAAGTTAACTAGTGATTGACAAGTGTTAACCGGTTAACGAATGGGAGTTAACGAGCGAGAAGTTAACGAGCGAGTGACAGTCTTAACCGCTTAACGACCGGGAGTTAACGAACAAGTGACATCGTCAAACAGTTAACGTGCTAGGGTTAACAAGCAATAATTAACCAGCTCATGAGCGAGAGTTAACGAGCGAGAGTTAACGAGCGAGGGTTAACGAGTGAGAGTTAATCAGCAAAAGTTAGCCAGTTAACAACCGGGAGTCACCATGAGATTGTTAAACGAATTAATGCACGATAGCCGACAAGTTGGCTATATAACGAGCGAAAGTTAACGAGCGAGAGTTAACGAGCCTTCCCCACCTTCTTGTCTCTCTCTAGCAGCTCCTTTGACTTTGCATCGAGCTGTCGTTTCAGCGCAGTAATCTGTTCTTTCAGCTGCGTCGTCGCAATCAGATGCTCCGAACTGTTGGGATCGATGAACGAGTCCATGCTGCCATGACAACGAGACAAGAGAACGTTTAAAAAATCTCTAGTATTAATTTTTTTTTTTTTTTATAAATTACAAAATTTAATAATTATTATTGATTACTGATAATGATAAATAACAATGAATTAGTTTTAAAAAATATTAATGAAGCAATAATGCAGAGGGTAACCACAGCAAGTAAAAAGCATGGTAAGTAAGGAAGGACAACGACAGCGCTTGCTGTGGTAGCCATGGCGATATTCGAGCCCCGCGTAAACACGCGAAAAGAATTGCGAGAAAAAAATTCACTGGCGTTGCCGCGACTTTCCCGTCGGCACCAGGTGGCACTACCTGCTGCTTGGTATGGTCGCCTCTAGTCGTGGTTTTTTCGATGCAGCCTGACCCGCTTCACCTCTGGACCTGCGAACACACACGGCGATTTATTAATCGACAGATCATCGACCATCGCTCGGATATTCTCCCTAGGTTTATCGTGTTATACGATCTTGATCTAGTCGATAAGATCGATTTCGCGAGGAGAATGCGAGTGCGAAAAGTCTTGCAATGTTCTAGTATGGACGCGTACATACACGCACGCACTCACGCATTAACGCACTAACACATCCAAACACCACACGCACTAACACGTGCACGCACACACGCACGCACGACACCACGTGCAACCCCCCCCCCCCGACTCACTTCTCCTGGTTGCCACGGCGATGCTTCGCCTTGTGGGCGGCGGCAGAGAGCGTCGAGGGCTTCTCTCGCGTCGTCGAACTGCCGGTGGCGCCCTCTCTCGCCGGCCGCTTCGCGAACGAGAAGTCGTCGTGTTTCTTCGCCTTGGCGAGCACGCGCTTGTAAGAGAGCATGCATAGCCAGCACAGCAGCTTCCCGTCCACCTGGTGAGCAGAAACGGAACTACGCACGGGAACATGGCGACCGGCGACAAGGTATACTATTATTGTCTTCGATTCGACGTTGTTATTATAATACGATAATGCATATTATGTACGTTATTGCATGTATTGATTTTAATTTATAAATGTATAAATGAAAATTGATATGTAAATCCAAGACGCGCATGCCCACGTGCACACACACACACACACGCTCTCTATCTATTTCCCTCTGTGTCTCTCTAGCTCTCTCTCTCTCTCTCTCTCTCTCTCTCT